TAGGAGGCTGATTCGGCTGGTGAGGCAGGTGTTTCCGTGACAGTTATAGTGAGTGCACACAAATAAACGTAGAAGCTTTACAGATTCGAAAGATGTATTACTCTTATCTCTATGACAAAAATGACAGAGTATTTTAAGAGCAAGTGACCGCACCGGCGCCTCCATCTGTCATGCAGTGACAGATGGTCGACTAAAGGTTAGTCGACTATTAGGGGGCAGCCCTATAAATCACAGATTAGTATCTGAACATTCAGGTTAAATCTTTATGACATCTGTGAGAACACAATGAGCTCATGGGATTTCAGAAAAAGTGGAAAATAAGAGGAAAATAAACTCTTACACAGAGATGGCAGGTGAAGGAGTATCTATCAAACTAGCAGAATTAAGCAACTGAAGCTCCAGTAAATGTTTGGTGGGTCAAAAACAGGAGCAGCAGCTCATGTGATGTGATGAAGATGAATGAAATGAACTTCATCTTCAGTCATCAGAGTCAGTTGTGCTGAGATTTAGTGTGTTAGTGAACATTTATTTTACAAGCTTTAGTCTTAGAATTTACATTAAAGGACAAAGACATGAGACTATCAGAGAGATGATCTTACCGCAGTTTCTCCAGTTTACAGTGAGGATCCTTCAGTCCAGTACAGAGACGATCCACACCCAAATCTCCTATTTTATTCCCAATCAGATCCAGTCCTCTCAGGTGTGAGGAGTTTGATCTCAGAGCTGAAGCCAGAGAAGCACAACTTTCATCTGTGACGCCACAATCAATCAACCTGTAGAGAAAAATGACACACTCTTCACTCTCTCAGATCAGATTAGTTTAGCCGTGAATCCATTAGTACAGAGAAAGTACAAATCAATGTGTGATAGATCATTGAACTGAGATTTAAAATGTCAAAGAGCAAAAAAAAAAAAAAAGCATGATCATAAATCATCTAAAGTCTCATTCGAGAAAAATAAATAGTATTGCTTTATTGCACTGTCAGTATTTTTAAACAAATTGTCTTATGAAGACATTCATACAAATCTGTTTAATCACACTATTCATTACAGAGTTGAGTTTTATACTGTTATTTTGATCTGTATGGAGTAGTGTGTGTGTGTATGTGTGTTTATCCTCCATCACCCAAGGATAGCAAAGATTAAGATCACTTACACTGTGAGATATTATTTATACATAGTGTAAATTGTGGCAGATAGTACTTATACCTCAGTGTATTCCAGTGCTTTACAAAACAGTAGATAAGAACATATTCTTTGTATATGATTCTATTGATTATAAACAGATGCTGCCTTATAGTGTCCTTACATGTGTCTATTCCTAAAGCCACTCCTACACCTACTACTTATCATACTGAAGCTGCTGATCAGTGAAGGTGTTCTTGAAGGTGCAGGAAGAGAGTCACAGTTTTGAGTTTGGGAACAATATGAGCTGCATGTGGGTGATACACCAGCCCATCTGATCAACGTGAGGACACCACATACAATTTTAATTATAGGCCTGTTAAATGCCTGTTAGCCATTTAAAGGTTTTGCTAATGCAAAAACAGGTTTAACATGAACACATAAGTCCACACATGTACAAGAAACAAAGTCACACAATGTCTTACTTTCTTTACCTTGATTGACAGTTGTCTCATCCAATCAGTAGTAAGTATTCCTTTCACAAATGATACCTAATTGTTACATTTTGTAACTTTTTCTGACTTTCTTTGGGTGATTTGTTTTTCACTTCACAAATACTTTACAGTGTGTCATATATAATCTTACCACAGTATCTCCAGTTTACAGTGAGGATTTTGAAGTACATCAGAGAGAAGATTCACTGAATTTCCTAGTTTATTCCCAGTCAGATTCATTTATCTCAGGTGTGAGGGGTTTGATCTCAGAGCTGAAGCCAGAGCAGCACAACCTTCATCTGTGAAGCCACAATCCCACAACCTGTAGAGAACAATGACACACTCTACACTTTCTCATATCAAATCAGATCAGTTTATATGAAGGTAAAAGAGTAGCATAACTCGACAGCTAGCTGATTTGAATTTGAGAACTTGTCATAATAACATTCATATTTGTAAGTTAAAATGTAAACTCACAGTTCTGATATGAAAAGCTTCAAATCTTAGCGCTTTGACATTTCCTACTCCTTTTGCGATATTCCTGTTGCAAAACACACTTGTGCGCTTGTAAATTCTTCTTGCATAATTGTCTTCTTGCATTATTGACAAACTACTTTCCTGTTTGACACTGAAAAGCTGCTTTGACAAAAAAATATTGTATAAAGAGCTATACAAATAAAAGTGACTTGACTTGACTTTACTTAAATGCAGATGCGTGAGAGCAGAACTGGGGTCGGGACTGGGGTGGGAATAAAGCCATTTTATTGGTCGATGCCTGACCAGTAAAATTGGATGGTTTCTTTGTGTGATCACGTCACACACAGCAGCAGCCCCTTGTTTGCCATTTTTGTAGGAAAGCCAGCTTTGGGAAAGCAACGGCACGGCAGAAGACTGCGGAAGCTACCGGCTCACCTAATAACACAGAAAACACGGTAAGCTGTGGTGGACACCAGACTCTCCTCACTCAGCGGACGATTCACTGTCCTCCCGGCTCCCGCAGCAGACGACACACTCTGCTGCAATGTAATGGTCAGTTTCATACAGTAATGTCCCTTCTGTATATGTAATTCTTTTTCATAAACAAATAGTCTGTATCAACACTTCCCAGTTCTTATGGAAAAAAATACATTAAAACATTTTAATACAATGCTGTTTTAAATGAACATAAAATAAGAAATAAATGTAAAATTGAATAAGTAAGTTCTTCAGTGAACCAACGTGTATTTCTTCACTATACCCTATAGATGAGACATTATAATATTAGACTGTGAAATATTAAGATTATTAAATGTGGCAGCTCTTTTTAATGTTTCAATAAAAACTGTTTGACTGGAAGCAAAGTTGCCAGTTGTGTGATGTCATCATTTAGTGAATAAAGCATGCTGACGACACATGATATAAACTGCACAAATGTATCTCTGACCTAATAACATTTTTGTAACCTATGCTGTTCTGTTGTCCTCCGTTTCTTGTATAAATATCAAAGGTAGACTTGAGGTAAAAGATCATGCAAGAACGTCTCAGGTTACTTGACTGTAACACTGTTCCCTGAAAAAGCGGGAAAGAGATGCTGCGTTTCGATAATGAAATAAACATTCTTTGTTCGACTGGTTGTGAAGCATGTGTGTCAAACACGCCAAGAATTGGCTTAAATAACCTTGGTAGGTGACGTCATTTGATTACATGCACCAGCGGGGTTATAAATAGACGTGAAAAGGACACACCTTCAGGTTACACCTTTGTCTGAAAGGACGTCCAGGCTTGCCTAGAGTGTGGCATAGAGGCGCAGCATCTCGTTCCCGCTTTTTCAAGGAACAGGGTTACAGTCAAGTAACACAAGACCCTATCAAAAGCTACTCTCGATGCTGTGTTTCAATAACGCTTATGGGAACGAGAATACCAACACCGCCACAGTGGAAGTGTCTGGACCCCTCAAGGTTGTGTAGTGTGTGCGCACAAACATTGAAGAGGTCTCAGACATGACTCTGTGTTGTTGACTCAAGGACATGCGAGTCCGGAGTAGTATGGACATCCAAACTGTAGAATCTGACAAATGTGTGCGGAGAGGACCAGCCTGCCACATCACACATTTGCTGCAAGGGGACACCTCTTGCCAGAGCCATAGAGGATGCAACCCCCATGGTTGAATGGGCTCTAACTCCTAGAGGCGAAGCTTGACCATGTGCCTCATAGGCTAAGGCAATAGCATCCCTCACCCAATGTGACATTGTCTAATGGCAGCCGCCCCCCGGTTGCGGCCCCCATAGCAAATGAAAAGCTGCTCCGACTTACGCCACTGAAGAGCACATACTGGACACAGTAGGTGAAGTCTTTCTTGCTCCGGTGTCGTGAACAGCGGATGGCAGAAGGCTTCAAGAACGACAGGATGTATGGTCAAGAATGAAACTTTGGGAAGATAATTAGGGTGAGGATGCAAAATAGCTTTGACCAGCCCAGGGGCAAAATCTAAGCAGGTTGGCGAGACTGACAGAGCCTGCAAATCTCAAATTCTCTTCAGAGAAGTAATGGCCATGAGAAAAAAAACATCTTAAGAGTCAGAAGCTTGACAGGTGTTGACTCTAGTGGTTCGAAAGGGGTCCCAACCAGACCTTCGAGCACTATAGCTAAGTCCCACGAAGGGATTGTCGCTCTGATGGGCGGCCTCAACCGCTTTGCTCCACGAATGAAGCAGGCGACTAGAGGGTGCTTTCCCACAGGAGACCCCATAATTTAAAGCATGGCAAGCCAAAATAAAGGCCACATAGACCCTGAGAGTACCAGGACATGTACTTGAGGACAGTTTTTCTTGCGGGAACTCCAGCACTGAAACAACTTGGCAGTGAAATGAGTCTGCATGGTGTGTCATACACAAACTTTTGAAAATGCGCCATTTGAGGGCATAACTTCTTCTAGAGGAGGGAGCCCTAGCACTTAGAATAGTTTGTACTACGTCGGCTGGAAGCCCATTATCTCTTAGTTGGTCCCCTTCAGGGGCCAGACATGAAGGTTCCAGAGCTCGGGCCGGGGATGATATACTGTCCCCTATGCCTGAGATAGAGATCTCTCCTGACCGGAATCGCCCATGGCGAGCTGTCGAGGAGGGATATTAGATCTGAGAACCACACTCTAGTCGGCCAACGGGACGCTATCAGTAAGAGGCGAGAACCTTGTTGACGGACCTTGGCTTGGTCTCCCGGGAGCAGAGCGATCGGGGGAAATGCGTAAAGACGCAGTCTGGGCCACATATGGGCCATTGCATCCAGACCCAGGGGACTTAGAGGAGTCAGAGAGAAGTAGAGGGGACATTGTGCTGTCTCCTGTGAAGCAAAGAGGTCCCCCTCTGCTTCATAAAATCTTTCCCAAATTTGACTGACTTCTTCGGGGTGGAGTTTCCTTTCCCCGTGTGTCACAGCTTGTCTGGACAGCAAGTCTGCTCCCACATTCATATGCCCTGGAATGTAAATCGCCCTGAGGGACAGGAACTTGTCCTGTGCCCAAAGCAGAACCTGCTGCGCTAGCCCGTTCAAGCGGCGTGAACGCAGTCTGCCCTGGCGATTTATGTAAGAGACTACCGCAGTGTTGTCAACCCGCACTAGGACATGGTAGCCCCTTAACTGCTGGAGGAAGTATTTCATGGCCCAAAATACAGCTATCATTTTAAGACAGTTGATGTGCCAGTCGAGAAGATCATAAAATCTTTCCCAAATTTGACTGACTTCTTCGGGGTGGAGTTTCCTTTCCCCGTGTGTCACAGCTTGTCTGGACAGCAAGTCTGCTCCCACATTCATATGCCCTGGAATGTAAATCGCCCTGAGGGACAGGAACTTGTCCTGTGCCCAAAGCAGAACCTGCTGCGCTAGCCCGTTCAAGCGGCGTGAACGCAGTCTGCCCTGGCGATTTATGTAAGAGACTACCGCAGTGTTGTCAACCCGCACTAGGACATGGTAGCCCCTTAACTGCTGGAGGAAGTATTTCATGGCCCAAAATACAGCTATCATTTTAAGACAGTTGATGTGCCAGTCGAGAAGACGACCTCTCCAGATCCCTTGGGCTGGACGGCCATTTAAGACCGCACCCCAGCCTGTGAGGGAAGCGTCTGTCGTTAGCATCTTGCGATGACAACACGCGCCTAGAGTGGGACCCAAAGTCAGAAAACGGGGTCTGAACCACATAGAAAGGGTACGAAGGCCCCAACGCGTAACCCTTATTTGCCTCTGGGGATTTGCCCTTTAATGAAATCCCCTGGCTCTGAGCCACAACTGAAATGGCCTCATGTGCAGGAGGCCCAAAGGTATCACCGTGAATGCAGCCGCCATGAAACCTAGAACCCTTTTAAAGTAATGGACAGTAACTTTCTGGCTCAGCTTGATATTCTTTAGGGTGTTTAGAATGGATTCGATACGTGCAGGAGACAGCTGTGCCCGTAGTGCAGAGAACGCTTTTCTTGGCGTTAAGTCTCAACCCTAGAGATTTGAGATGAGCTAGGACGACATTCCGATGTCGAAGCGCAAGCTCTTGAGACTGGACCAAAATCAGCCAGTCGTCTATGTAGTTTAAAATGCAGATGCCCTGGAGTCGCAGAGGAGCCAGTGCTGCATCCATGCATTTTGTGTATGTGCGGGGTGACAAGGCTAGGCCAAATGAAAGAACCCGATACTGGTAAGCTTCGCCCCCGAAAGCGAACCTCAGGAACTTCCTGTTTTGTGGCAAAATTTATATGTGAAAGTATGCGTCCTTGAGGCCGATTGTCACGAACCAATCCCCCGATTGAATCTGAGAAACGATCATTTTGATTGTCAGCATTTTGAACTTGTGTGTTCTGAGATAGCAGCTCAACCTGTGAAGATCTAAAATTGGACGCAACCCCCCATCTTTCTTGGGAACCAGAAAATACCGGCTGTAGTAGCCTGACTCACTGTCTGGAAGGGGAACATGTTCTATTGAAGTGAAATGAAGTGTAACTCGAGTTGTTGTTTAAAGAAGTGAACTGCAGTAAAAACATTTAAATTTTGTCTGTCGAGACAAAAACTAAGTCGCTCTAAAAGTGCACGAGGAAAGAAGCAAGCGTGTTCCTTACTCTTCTCTCTTTTAAAAGGCCTTCATAGCTTGATTTGTATAGTGCGTGTTCCACTTCCAAATTCAACTATGCTATTCATCTCCCTGGTTTGAGAATATCAGATTAGCTAACTGATATTCCTCTGCCATTTATTCACAAAAAAACTAGTGAACTTGAAACGCGACGTTCAGAAGAGTGTCCGAACGTTATTTAATGCGGAGAATTGTGAAATCTTG